ACATTTCAAGTGTGTCAGAAAATGCATAACATCTACTGTTGTTAAATTATGCTTTTCAATAAGATCAGGCAAAAAATAATGTAAACAACACTACATGGAAAACATAACTGTTGTTATTCCAAATCTAGAGATGAAAGAACTGGGAAATCAAGTATTTTGCAGAGATTACAGTCAATGACAAACCTAATACACAACCTAGTCTTTTCCCAGTAATCCAGAGGTCCTTGGAAAACCACTCTTGGGTCTTTGCCTCTTTCTGATATTAGACACTGATAGGAAAATGTTCAACAGAGAAAGACAGGTATGGCACTAAGTATGTTAGGTATATCTGGACTATCCTGTACAGGGAAGATGTAAGTGAAAATTGGTGATGTACATATTCAAACTGAAATGCTTGCTGGTAACCTGATCTGAATCAAAGGTTGTCTCTGAAATTCACATGTATTCCCTCCACTGGCATGTGGCCTCCCCAGATAAAGAGGGAAGGAAATATATCAGAGTCGGGTACAAAAAATGAAATTTCGGCCAAACTAAGTAGAAAAACTAGATCTAAGGGACTGCAAAGTAGATGTTTTAAAATCAGCCAGGCATGGTCACGTTGTTTGCTCTTTGACATAGAAAGACTTTAAAAGGACAAATCTTAGAAAGTTAGGCCCCAAGTACTGAGAAAGATTTTTTAAAAATGTTTGTGAGCTCTGATGTTATTCAAGAAGAAAAGAAAGAATGAGAATTCATAAGAAATGGAAAAAGCAGTTTTCAAGATTTGAGGGGTAGGGACCATATCAGGACAGTCCTATAAATCAGTTAAGATGTCACAGATCTGTCCCAGAATTAACTGGCTGCCTAATCCCTACCTGAGGCAGGGGAATGTATTTCAAGATTCCCTGGAGATGACTTGGGAGCTCCTGATCGAAGCCTGTTGGAATATAAGGAAGACTTGCAGCGAAGTATTATTGCCGAACAGTTTCAATGCCTTCTCCCTTCCCGCTGTGCTCTGACTCTTGGCTGCTCGAGGCCAAAAGCAAAGTTACCAGGCTCCCTAAAGATCTACAGCTACTGTGCCTTGCCTCTGGGAGTTCCAACTTCACGGAAAGCTTACTCCTAATCCTTGCCTGAGTTACTGCACTTGTCTGATTCTTGCAAAACAGATTATAAATCGCACCAGGACTTCCCATTGCTGCCTACTGAATCTGAAGTCTTCTGGGAACCTATGATTCCTATTTTGGAGTACAGGGGCAGCTAGAATACAAAATTGCAGGTTGGCAGTGGTGAACTCTTGAAACTCACACAGGGGAATGCTGGAGACCTAGTGACTCTGCCTCCGGTGTGATCCTTCCACATACACATTCTTCCAAAGATGGCAATCCATCTTTTGAAACCAGTTCTCTCATTATTGATACTTTTAGGGACTGACAACAGGGAAGAAGTCCATTATGTTAAAGGAAAGCAACATTTGAAGAAGATTGTGTCTGCTAAAACGCATTTCAAACAATAACAAGGAAAGGGAGTAAAATATTCTGTCAGGCCTCTGTGAGCAGAGAAGTCTCAAGAACTTATTATCAGGCCCTGACAGAGATCAAAGGAAGAGCAAAATGTTAGGGTGCCATAATGAGAATGTTTTAGACTGTGAGATTTTAAATTCCATCACAAGTTACACAACACAGTGTTGACTGCTTTGAATAATTAGAGGAGTGTTTTTCCTACAAGTCCCCATGTGTCTGTAATACCAACATCTGCCCAACATCTGCCTAGAGGAAAAATGCACATTTTAGAAAATTGTTTTTGTTCATAAGCAGCAAACCTTCTATGACAGGCTAAAGAAAAAAAATGAAAAGAATAACTTTTATTTTGTTGAAATTATATAATTGATTCCTAGCATTACAAAGGGAGTATTTAAAATGCAAATTGATTCACAGTGGTCCAACTAACTGAAGCCAGCTGTGCCTACAAAACTAGCCATCATTTCTTCTGTGTCTCTTTTTGTCTTCCCACATTCCCTCCATAGGCACTCCCCAGCAGTCAGTAAATCCAGACAGGATCCTAAGTGCCACTAAGATGCAAAAAATAAATGAAACACACTTTCCGTTAAAGTTCTGGGTCAACCAGTATTTTATCAGAGAAGGAGAAGTGTGTTTTAGATCTTAGTAATTTGTGAACTCCTAAAATTTTGCTGTGCTGTCTATGTGGCTGTGAATTAAGCCTGAATCCTCAGGATAGTCTGAAAGAAGAGGGAAGAGACTGACTGTATGGAAGGAAGACTGGGACCTGGAGCCTGAATCAGAAGTAACTCACAAGAAAGGGTGGAGATCTACATTAGTCTCGCATCACCTCTCGCAGACCTACATTTTCAGGTCCCGCATTGAGGTGATATTTCTCATGGTCCCTTTCGACTTATTGATCAGTACTTGGAGGGAGGGGTGAAGATTAAGAAAGAAATAGACAAGAGACAGTAGATAGAATCAGGAGAGCATCCAGAAAATACTATGATCCACCTCAAGTTTATTATTTAAAGCTCCCTTATACCCTAATCCAAAAGGGGGAGGACAGAAGACTTCGTTGCCATGATACAAAGAACAAAGCAGTTTCCTCTGCACATCTCCAAACATCAAATAACCACATCCTAGATCAAAATATCCTTTTGTCCTCAAACCACACCTCAGGTCAAGCATCCTGTCATATAACCTTAAAGGAACAGGAATAGGTTTGAACTCTCTGAGCTTCAGTCAAGGTGGAACAGATTCATTTCTGTGGGCTCCAACAACCACCAAACCTCTCACTTAGATGGTTGAGGTTTTCTTGCCGTGGATCTGGCACATGTCAACATAGAACCAAACTTTGGACTTGCCTAGGAGTTAGAAAAATCTGAAGGGCATGCTCAGCTCCTGTCCTCTGCTGGTCATCTGAGTTCCCAGTGCTGAGCTCAACATGTCCACCTCCCCAAGTATGAACTGTGGCTTCAGTTAGCCTCCACCTTCCAAACCCCACATATCACTTCTCTAAGAGCCCACACTATGTAGGAACTGCCTTGGGAAGCTAATTCCTGGCAGCGAAGATGACACCCTACAAATGTGGATCACTAGAGACACCCTTGTATGTTCAAGGAGGTCACTGCACAAGGTCCATTCTTCATCGCCTTAATGACAATTTTCAAATTGCAAAGAGACCCCTTAATAACTGAATTATATACATATAAGGCATCATATGATTCTAACCTATGAAGTTAAAATTTAAAAAAAAAACATGAAAAGAGTCATATGAGCAACACTACGGTGTTTTTTAACTGCACATGTCACAAAGTTGCATTAAGAAGCTCTTTGGTTTGTTGGGCTACTCATTCAACTTACATGCACTAGTTACGATTCATGCTCTCCTAAGCACACAAAAAGATAATGTGTGTTTAAAACATCCCTATTTTCAAGGATGGCACCAAGGAGGGTTTTTTAAGCAAATAAAGAACACATCATAACATAGGAGCTGACAAACAAGTGAACACCAAGGATGAATTTGTAATTTGAAATGAGAAGGCCAGGAAAGTTCTCTCTTAAAGGATGTGTAAGTGAGGATTGGAGGGGATGAGGGGTATCTAACTGTATAGACAGAGAGACTGGGAAACAGAGAAGACTTGAGTCAGCCATGTGCTTCTGACAGAGGATAGTGAGAAATCCAAGAGGAAAATGAGGGTCAGGTTCAGCTCTCATGAGTTTTCAGTGTGTACTGTTCCATCCAGGAAGAGAGAGGAGACTTCAGAACATCCCCGCAGAAATATATATATAGTAAAAATGTCACCCACCCTCCCGAACATACTGTTGGAATTAGAAACCAAGGAGATCAGAATGAGACCAATATCAATTAAGTGTCTATGATTATTACCCGAATGGGAGGTGAAGTGCTGTGGACATAGGAGATAAAGTTAAAGATGATGAGGTAGCTGAATTCTGAGTGTGTGTTAAAAGTGAATCCTTTATAGCAGGCATCTTTGATGTGCTAACTTCAATAAAATGAAGTCAAGAATGATACTTAGCAGAACTTCCTTTTGGGCAACTAAGGGAACAGAAACCAATGAAAGAGATTTATTTGTTGATACTGAACAAATCAGACTACTGCACACCTTTATAGAGATTCAGGGGTTTTACAGACCAAGTCTTCTCACTTTTAGAAGACAGAACTACTAAAAAGCCCAGGGATTGAAGAGCAGCGTGGATAACATACCAAGATGCTCTATCAAAAACAAGAGCCAACAAAGAAGCAAGCAAGCAAACAAACAAACAAACTCACCAACTAACAAGAGAATGGGATAGAGCTTTTGCTTCTACCATCACTTTTATACCTGATCTATGAGGTAGGGTTATCTACTGCTTGTCTTCCATAAACACAAACACTCAGGAAAAATGAAGTGGGATTTAACTAATAAGCTCCTCGGTAATTACATTTTTGATTAATTTTTCAATATGCAATTATGTAGATGCAATTCATTTCTTTTAGGCTGTGTTTCATTAAGGCTTGTGTAAGGAAGATGATTGACAAGCCTTGTAAATCATGATCCTTGTATTCTCCAGCTGTCTTTCAGGTTCACGTTTTCTTCACTGAGGTAAAGTCACTGAGATAGACTGTGCACAATGAGTGCATTCTAACCTTTTGGCATTGAGATCCAGGAGATCGAATTTCGTGGAAACTGTTCACATATGTAAAATTAAGCAGTTAAGTGAACTACGGATGACTCACAGAATGAATTATCACTTCGTAACCCCTCCACTGCCCACTCCTCCAACCCTTTCTCCACCTAAACCTCCCTCCCCATTATTTCTCTTTCCTCTTCAGGACTCCTCATCCTCTTATGGATAGGTGTTATGATATTAAAAAACATTTTGAAAAACCATGTACCTTTGTCATTTAAAATTTTCTACTTTTAATCGCTTTAAATCAATTCATAAGCAACTGTTTCCATGAGTATAGAATTATTAACTTATCTTATTTCTCTTTACTTTGGTTTGCAGGTGCAAGGTACTGTGAGACTGAATAAATCATTAGGAATTCTACATGTCATCCTGTGGTGACAAGCTTTCCAAAAAAATAAGGAAGCTTGAATTCTAAATGCCAACAGTCTATGACTAAGACAATGTCAGTTTCAAGGATTAAAGGTATTTGTTACACTTGCCCAAAAAACCCATTTAAACAGCAAGGCTATGCTGTTCTTAACTGATGAGGAAACCATTGTCCTCTAATAACTTCCCTTGAAAAGAGAGACTAAATTTCTACCCTCTCTCTCTTGTTCTCCCTTCTCTTTCCTCCTCTGATCACTGAATTCAATGTGGGTGGCTTGTAATTCAGCTAAAATAGTAGGTTTCACAAACAGTGCAAGCAAAGATAGCCTGTTGGTGTGAAGACTTTTCTTATATAAACACTAATTTTTCTCTAGTCTTGCTTTCCCAAGTTGAAATTGCCATTATGATCAAGAGTAAATAGACTGATTCACAGCAATGTCTGTGGTTTCTAAATCAGAATCCAGACATTTTTAATGGAGTTAAATTCATATGTGCTTGAAAATGACAAATTAGTTATTTGTTCATCTACTGACTCCTATGAGTTTATTTTTGAAATTCTTAAAAATATAGTATCTCTCATAGAGATACTTGTGTTTGGTGTTACAGTGCAAGTTGTTTGGGCTGTACACTGGTTGCATGTGAAATCTAAGTGCTTTAAATGACTTCATAAAAGAAACTGTAAAAACTTGATCAATGATTAGCAGAAAAGTTGATTATACTGTTCTCAGTACAGTGAACCATATAATAAACAAAGCATCAGTTCATTTGCTACTATCAACTCCTTTCTTTAAATAGTAAAATATAGAAAACATTTCCTTAACAATATAATTATAATTATTCTCTCATTATAATGGTACATATTATAGGAAAATAAATCAAATGTCTAGATCCCGTTTAACAGAAACCTAGATTAAGGTACTTAACTAGGCTTAAGACACAAAGGGGAAAGGTTCTTTCTTCAGGCCCTCTGTTGGGGAGGCATTTAATCAACATAGCAGAACCTCTGTCACTTCCATACTGCATGTAGAAAACTGAGACTGGGTAGGTGGGCAATACCTCAAATTTTACAAAGATAACAGGGACAGAGTTGGGATCCACCCTAGATCCCAATCTCCAAATACAGCCTTGCCTTAATCATACTGCTAAAACTCCAGGTGACCCTACTGAGAAAAGAAATGTCTACCCTCACCGTTAATATTACCCATTTAAATAATATTATAATTTTAAAAATAAAAAAGTCTACTAACACGTTATTTGTGTAAGTTTAAGTTAAAGCAGAAATAGACATGAAATCATCTATGGATTTGACACTATTTGAAAAAAGAAAGGAAATGACAGAGGTAAAAAAAAGAATTAGAAGGAAAGGAGAGGGGAAATTTGTAGTAACATTAATCTAAGAATAAATAGGTCAAAGCAAAAGTATCAAAGAGAATGAAATTGTTTTCTCAGGAGCCACAAGGCATGATAATCACAAAACATGTGCTTCCAGCAGTGCAGTTTCAAAATATTTGAAATATATATTAATCTTTCATAAAAAGAAATACAACCTTTAAATATATCCTGTCCCCTTTGAGACAGCCTCCCTCTATTTAGCCCAGACTAACCTCAAATCCAGAATTTTCCTGCAGCAAATTATAAAGTAGACGGATTTCAGATGTGTGCTTCCATATTGATCTAAAATCTCCTTTATAAACTATAATCACAAGCACGAGAACTGAACTCCTCAGGGATCTGCTCAAGTAGCAATGACCCCTACAAGTGCCAACCTTCCTGACAATTGTAGTCTGACATTCTGCCAATCCAAAACATGGCAGCTGTCACCAGTATCCTGCTTTCCCTGGAAGAAACACTGAAATAAAGAAAAGAACAAACAAGTCCTCTTCTTTAGCAATTAAATGCAAATAGCAAATTGTCTTGGAAGTTCTCTGAACACCTGAATTCAGTAACATCACCTCCCTCTGTTACAGAAGGCACATAAGACTAAAAGGACAGCTCCTGGGGTGTTCATTTTGTCCTATTTCTAAAATAAATAAATAAATAAAAATTACATAATTATTCATTAACCTACATGTCTTACATACAGAAGGGGGCATTGATTGTTCCAATCTCAATACATATGTTGCTGGCCCCCCCAGAGCATTATATCTTTTTGTTCTTCTTACCATGCCTCCTGTTTTTCTATTTTTAATCCTTAACATACAACCAAGAGGGAGTGGGGACCAGACGCGTGGCAGACCAGTAGCAATGAACAGAAGTGATACCTCAACAGCAAGAGTCAACAGCATTTGGCCACCCCCTTTGGAAAGTGACTGGGCTTATTGCTATTTTGTGTCCCTGTCGTTTTGTGTTATATTAATGTGATCATTCACTGAACAAAGTGATTGGAGAATACCATGCAGGTATTAAGAAGCAATGATGTAAAAATCTGGAGGCAGTTGACAACAGACCAGCATGTCAAAGGTTAGTGTCTTTGTGCCTACAGAGCATTAAAGAAACCAGGAATTTTAAGCACTCTGGGGTGTCTCCTCAATGGAGAAAATAAAATGCCTGCATTTCACCCAGAAGACTGGGAGTGGATGTTGTTAACAACCTGGCAACCTTTTGCTATCTGTAGAGTCAGACCTCACTCAAATTCCAGAAAACGTTTATACCATACTCTCTTTCCCTAGGTCCTTATCTATTGGCGGAGTCTCATTGTTAGCCACCCAGATTCCTGATAACACAGGAATAACACAGAAATCTGTATTAATTGCAATACTGTTTGGCCAATAGCTTAAGTGTATTTCTAGCTAGCTCTTACATATTAAATCAACCCATTTATGTTAAACTGTGTATCACCAAAAGATCATGACCTGCCAGCAAGGTTCCAGCATCTGTCTCCTCTGGTGGTGGCTACATGACTTCTCACTGACTCTGTCTTCTTTCTCCCAACATTCAGTTTAGTTTTCCCCACCTAGCTCTATTCTGCCCTTCTACAGGCCAAAGAATGTTCTTTATTAACCAATGATAATAAAACATATTCACAGCATACAGAGGGGAATCCCATATCATCTCTCCTTTTCTATCCAAATATAAAAGTAAGGTTTTAACTTTAGCATAGTAAAATTGCATATAACAAAAAAGGTATCAAGTAAGGATTGTAGTTACAATATTTATATCTTCTTTATCTTTTATCACAACTAAGGAAAGCTATAATTATAACTATCTATTCTTCAACTTCATCAAAGACTCCAAAAGGATATAATATTACCTAAGTAAGCAAGAAGTACATTATAAGCAACTTCCAAAACTCTAGAATTGGCAGAGACATCTCACTGCCTGGACAGTCACCCAAAGTTCTTCTATAACATTGGGGCATCCATTTTCAGCCCTTAGGCCCATATTATTCCGCAGACTTTTTCATGAAGCAGGAAATTTGAAAGACTATTTCATCTCTATTGGCAGTGTGTCAGTCACTTTCTTCGGGGTCCTGCAGAATGTCTGACAGTCTCTTACAGGAAGCAGGAAATCCTGAAGGACTGTCACACCTTATTTGTGGCAGATTATTTTTTTAGCTCCCAGTTAACAGAACCCATCCTTAGGGGAGATGGCAATGCAATTTATAGCCTGCTGACCTCTGTGCTAGCTCAGTCAGAGACCACACTAGATTCTAGGCCTTTAAACTATAGAACCTATGTTCATGTTCACATATACTCTGCAAAGGTACTTCTATGCAGTCATACCTTAAGCTTTATGTGTGGAATGGAAAGGATTGTTTCCTGGAATTTTTTTAAAAATTCTATTGTGTATAACTACACTGACAATAAATGAACTGGCATCCGACTCTATGGAAGTTTGATCTAGACTAAGTCAGGCTGGACTGAGTTTTCATTCTCATCCCTTCATAGTTCATTTCTCTGCCTGCCATGATGCTTGCAGGGACACACACACCACACCCAGACTGCACTTTTTCATGGTGTGGCCCTGCACTGCTGATACTGCCTCACAAGGCTGTACATTTTCTGTAACATCTCTCATTTAAAACAAACTAGTCCAGAATCCAGAAATTTCCCTGACTCTCACAGCAAAGCAATTGCTCAGCTTTTAATCTTCTAAAAGAGTAGGCTTTTCTCTTTCCACTATTTTGCATCCCAATGGCCTCTGGTTCCTGCTCCACCTCTCCACTGACATGTTTACAAGTGACCTCATAACTACTGAGTCTAACATAGGATCTTGATCCTTTAATCACTTCCTATACTATTCAATCCACCTTCCATGAAAACATCCTCTCCCTTGATCTCTGGTAGCAATAGATAACAGCCTTCATTCCCTATCACACAGGGTCTTTGCTACTTTTTAGATTTTACAAATTCCTTTTGTTACTGTTTTTTTCTATGTATCATCTTGCTTTCCAGGACAGGCTGGTAAGGTTCCACATTTGTTCTCAACTTTAGTCTCATCCTGCTGCTTGAGAGCTGAGTGACCTGCACATACCTGCTCTTGGCACATGAGACACGAGATGAGTAGAGTCCCTAACACAAAGGCATGCTTATTCTATATTACTTATTTCTAAAAATGTTCACACCCTCATCTGCAAGAGATCTAAAGGTCTAATCTCCCTCAATGTTACCTCCATAGAAAATTTCCAAGAGTCTCTAAAATCAACTGTTTAATCAATCTTCTTTCCCACCTGTACGGTTTCCTTTTTCCCTCATGGTTCATTGGCCGCCAGTTCATGAGGCCAAAGGGGCAGAAACAGCAACAGAGACCTGTGTTAGGCCTGGGAGCCCAATGGAAGCAGCCTTCCTGGAGTCTGCTTCAGTGAGGCAGATCAGCTTTATTTCAGAGTACAGAGGATGTTGGGAGAAGTAGCTGGGGAATCTCTTAATTTGCATTAAACTGCACACTCCTATCACATGGTTGCTACTACAAGTCCTAGTTATCACCTGTTGAAGCACTGTTAATAGCACAACGTCTAATTACCACATTGGCAGTAGAGGGAAAGTTTCTGGAGGGAACTCTACCAAGGAAAATACTAGAGATAATTCAGGCGTCTAGACCTAGAGACAGTCCCCAAATAAGGTCAGGTAGAGAATTGGGTGCCTTCTGTCATGGAG